ATTAATATAATTATAATATTATTCTTAATAAAAAAGAAAAAGTTTGACCGCTCACCAGTACTACATTATAAATATGAAATGGAAACTGAGTCTATGACTCATAAAAGGCATTAATATTTGACCAGAGGTGAGGTAATCAAAATGGAGTACAACTCAATAATTAGTTTAAAGATCATAGATTTGAATCTTCAATGCCAAATTTGTATAATTTTCTAAAAAATTCGGCGTATATATTTTATTTTCTTCTAAATATATTTTGAGTTGATTTAACACACTTAGGAATGAAAACATGTCCGTAAATCTAGCATTATAAATATGGGGTAGAGATTCAAGTTTTAAACTTAGGTTATCTATAAGAGGACGAGGATCAAAAGAATACAATTTTTTTTAGTATGAAGTATTACTCGACTTGAACATATTATTATATCGATGCTTTAATCGCTGTTCAAGTTAACTTTTTTAAAAAAATATAGTTATCACATGTATTAGAAGCGAAAAAGAAAAATAATTATATAAATTTCAAAGTATATATTATGCCATTATCATTCCGATTGGTTACATGTGTAAAAAAGAAAAAAATGTATGAACAGACATAGAGTAATAGAATAAGATTCTTTTTTCAATTAGGTAACTTGAGTGGAATATCTTATTCCAATTTGGTTCCTTTATTCCAAAAAAATCAAAAAACAATTTTAGTGAAACATTTATTGGATTCCAAAATATCATTAATCAACGTATCTCATTGAATTCAATTTAATAGAGATGGGAGTGGAGGGATTTCCAACGCAAAAAAAGAGAGAGAAAAAGAAATAAAAAGGAAAAAAGAGCAAGCATTGTATCAAGAAGGTTTGGTTATAAAAAGGAGCAATAAATTTAATGGCTTCATTTATTATAGGTTTGAAAGAAACGAGAGGTCCAGACTAGGGGATAGCCATGAAAAGAAAATTTATAATGGACGGTCATGAACATCCATAGAAACAATAATTTATATATGTTAATAATATTTTCGTGAAATTATCGTACTAAGTCAACCTGGTTCACTGTGAAATTCAAGAGTGATAATATGGGTCGAGTTATTCAATCTAGACTATCCAATTAGACTTGACCTGACCCGATCAGACCAAAATGGACTACTTGACTGAGTCGGACTCGATCAAGCCGATCAACTAGAACCAACCCAAGGATACTTCCACTATAAATTATAAGAGAGGTCTAGGGCACAACGTAGGTCGTACAATTCTATCTTTTGATACTATTAAAAAAATGAACCATTTGTATTTATGTATCAGAGTGTGTTGGGTTTAGCACCACACTAGTGTGCAAATTTATTGTGCGTGCAAATGCTCTTCGAAGCCCGAATCCAAATCGTGCATGAACACGTTCGAGGTAAGTTTAAGATTTTTTTGATAACCGTTTGATGCAAAGTTGAAATATATAGTTTCTTTAAGTTCTTTTTCTATATTTACGTGGAAAAAGCTCCCCTCTTGAAGATTCAAGAGGAGGCTACTCATGAATACCTATATCTTCCTCTCTCCTCGTATTAAGTCACATTCTCCTTCTTTTTCTTTGTTTTGCGATCTTCACCTTCTTATTTTTTATTACCTACTATATTTTTAAATCAATTTACTATATCTTTTTTTTTCTCTAAATCTATTGTATATTTTTTACTGTATCTCTTTCATACTATTTTAAAAAAATATATGTTCTTTCGTTTATCTTTTTTCCCTGTCTTTGTTAAATACAAAAAGATACATTAAATTAAAAATAAAAAAGACAAATTAATAAGATAGATACGGTGTGATTTTGTAAAATGGAAAAAAAACTAAAAAAAAACAGAAATAAAAAAAATGGTGAAGATAAAATAAAAGATATGAAATATGGAGGTTTATTAAACCACATATGTGTTCAAGAGAACTTGTTTAACATATGGGGTGGAGGGTCGAACTCACTATCTTTTTGTTAGATTTACATATTAATCATCGTTGAATTATGTTCACTTAAACGAAAAATTTGGTCCTAAAGATTTAGGAGTGAAGTTTATTCATATTTAACTCATGCAACACTGGTAAAGGCAAATAATAATAATAAATAAAAATAAGAGAGGAATGGAATTAAATTATATACATATTATAATATATAATGAATGAGAGGGAGAGACATTAGGAATTGCGAATGTCTTGTGCATCCCAAAAAAAAAGAAAGAGTGTTGATAATAAAATGATGATGTCTTTACACGTTTGAGTTGCTTTCGATATTGCCCTTATTTCTCTTTTAAGCTTTATACTTGTCATGTTTTTTCTTTTCCACAGTAGCCTCTTTCGATTTGACATATTGTTCTTCAATGCCATAACCTCAAAAATAAAAATTCCAATTTCTTTTTTTAGAATTACAGCAATATCTATTCTTTTCCTTCACGATTTGACATATAATATAATTTTATTTCATAGAATGTTGGAATCACTCTTACATGTGGTTGATAGGGTAAGTATCAATCATTTTCGATGTAAAATCACAGGATTTAAATGTTGATATCAAAGAAAATGTCGAAATCTCAATTCCATGAAAATACCGATATTGAGAGATATTTCTTTAAAAGTTAAAAATGATTAACGATATAGGTATATATTAGTTATATTTTTCATATTTTATCAATTGAGATGAAATTTTCGAAATACATAGATATTTAATACGATAAAACTCACCGTTAAAACTTCTCCCACCTCCCTCTCTCTCTCTCTTCTAGCTTTGATCCCTACTCTTTACAGTCTTACTTTCTTTCTTCTTGGGACTTGGGATTTGAAAATTAAATTCAAACCCCTTTTTCCATCTCTTAATTTTTTTAAACTTCGTTTGAAAATAAATACAATTTTAACTCACCCTTAAAATCAGGATTTGTTTTTTTTACCTTTTTTTAAATGTAAATATTTGGTTATTATTGTTATTTATAATTCTTATTTTTACTAAACATTCCTAAAATGGATAGAAATTTTGAAAATAACAAAATCAATTTTTTAAATTTTCGTTTCGTTAGATTTTTCCAAAACTTAAATAAAAATACTATTTTACCATTATTGAATTATAAAATACATAATAAATAATAAAAAATAAATACAAGATAAAAAATTTGAATATTTAATTAAAATTTTTAATTTTCATATAAACTTTATGTTTTAACTTAAAAATTTTAGAAAACCGAAAGCAAGGAAAAAAACCAAACATATATATTTTTTTTCTTTTTTCAACGAATAATTACCAAATACAGTTATCTTTCTATTTATTAAAAAATAGTAAACAAGGAAACTTTAGCACAGTTTCTCTCGTATTTGTGGTGCATTGATTTCCATTCAAAGAGTATCAAAAGTTAAGTTGAATTCTTTATTAGAGCTGTATCAACTTATGTTTTTTTTTTT